AATAAGGTGTTTTTTTTTATCCAATGTAACTTTTCGAGATCTACACATGATGAGCTTCCAGCTTGCTATGTATAAAGGGTCAAAATTGCGCATGAAATTGATCTAAATACAACTAAAAGAAATGAAAATTGTGATTAAAGTGTTATTTTACTCTCAATAGCATTCTCATATGAAATTCTTGTATTTTGTATGGATTTCGATCCATTAGAAGAAGCTCAAGTTTGAAAGCTCTAGAAGAAAAGAAAGTGATAGAGTCAAGTAAGCTGGTGTTTTTCATCCCTCTATTTCACGGCGCCAGTAGTGCCAACAGGGACGCTAGAAGCGCCAAACCCATTGAAGTTATTGTCTCACGGCTCTAGTAGCGCCAGATTAGAAGTAGAAGAGCCAACAAGCTTTAAGCCCTGGTCCTTCGCGCTATAAGTGCCACTTTGGCACCTGGAGCGCCCCAACCAGATGAGGATACAGTTTCGCAGCGTTAGAAGCACTAGGTTGGTGCTATTACCTTACAAGTTACAACAATGATTGCATACAATGTGTGTGCAAGATGTCTTGTTCTTCCTAACAAAATCAATTTCTTTTTTAGGACTACGTGTAGACATAATCACATCAGAGTTATGATCAGAATTATTATCAAGATGATTAATCTTGCCTAGTTCAACATGTAATACACATTCAGAACTGACTTCAGTAGGCAAGTCAGAATCCACAGGCAATGCAGAATCCACAATCAAATCAGTATCAACATTATCAACCACATCAGGAATCACATTAATGAATGAAATTGAATGCTCAACTTGAACTCTAGAATGCTTTATGGCATCGAAGATACTAACATTCACATTAATATCACCAAATTCCATGGAAAAAGTACCAGCATGCACATCTATCTTAGTCTTGGAAGTTTTCAAGAAAGGCCTTCCTAGAATGAATGGGGGCCTATTGTTAGGAGATTCACCCTCCATGTCTAAAATGTAAAAATCAACAGGAAAAATTAATTAATTCACCCTAACTAAAACATATTCAATCAAACTAGTAGGGTGAGCATTACTCCTATTAGTTAACTGAATAATAACACTAGTGGCATGCAAAAGACCAAGACCAAGAGAATCATAAACAAATTTAGGTATAACATTAATAGAGGTACCTAAATCTAACATGCAATCATCAAATTTATAATTCCCAATAAGGCAAGGAATAGTAAATGTCCCTAGATTTTTGCACTTCTCAAGCATAGGTTGGATGAGTGTTGAAACATTTTGGCTCACGCGTACTAGTTCGTCCCCCTTCAGCAGCCTCTTGTTGGTGCATAACTCCTTCAAAAACTTGGCATATTTGGGAGTATGCTTGATTGCATCTAAGAAGGGAATGTTAACTGCAACCTTTCTGAACGTCTCTAGGATCTCCTTCTCTTGTGCTGCCTCTGCCAACTTCTTGGATTTGATGGCTCTCTGAAGGAAGGGAAGAGGAATAAGAATTTCAGGCCCATTATCAACTTGCTGCTTCTCTTGCGTTGTGTTTTGCTTAGCTTGTCTGTGTTCCCTTTTTCTAATGTTGTTTCAATCTCATATGCAGCTTGCTTGGGCTCTTCCAGTTGCTTGCCAGACCTCATGGATATAGCAATGATATTCGGATTAGGAATTGTCTATGAAGGAAGGGAATTATTAGTACCTTGAGGTTAGAGCTGCCCCAATGATGTTATTCATTGCCCAATCTGCGTTTGCAAATTCTGAATGATGGACCCAGTACACTGCTGAAACTGCAGATTGCTTGTCGCAAGCTGCTTTACCAAATCTTCTAGTGAAGGACCGCTACTGGTCTGCTGCTGCACTGGTTGCTGCTGTTGCTGTTGTTTTGGGGGTGCATATTGTTGGAAATTATGCCTCTGATGTGGAGGCGCAAACTGCTTTCTCTGTTGGTAAGAGGGAAAGCTCTACTGCTGGTACTGAGGCTTAATAGAGAAGACTCCTGCTGCAGCTACTGACTGGTCTACTAGAAGAAGGCTCTCTTGTGGAGTGAGAGAATGCACTGTCTGTGTCATTTCCAGTTTTCTCACTTGTAAAGTCAACTCGCCAAGCCTAATTTCTATTCTCTAATTCTCTGTGCTTGACGCTATTGCTGGTTTTTTCTGAGTTCTTGACTGGGGGCGTTTGAACCCGGAACACAGCATAACTGTTTTCTCTGGTGTCGAATTGTTGCGCATTAGCTTCCATATTCGTTATCATCTCTGGCCACAGCAGGTGTCTTGTCAACTAGAACTCCACCACAAGCTGCAACTATTATACTCATGTCCATGGGTAACAGGCCTTCATAGAAATATACAATCAGTAGTTGGTCTGAGATCTGGTGATATGGACAGCTGACACGAGCTGTCGAACTCGCGCAAATTAAAAATTATTTTTTTAATTAGGGTTCAGAAAATTTGCAGTAAAGTGGAAACCCTAAGTCGTCTCTCAAGGAAATTGTTTTGGTTAAAATCGCTTATGAGAACAGAAAATTAAAAGGGGGGTTTTAGATTTTGATTCAATAATTAAAGAGGCAGAATATAAATTTGGAATAAAAATTCGTAATTAAAAATAACCAACCTAAGGTTTGGGTTCCATGGACGTCTTTCCTCGGATAAGAAGATATCAGAATCGTGATTGATTTGTCAATCGGATCAGAATCCTTATTTTCAATTGACAACCCTCTCTAAGCGATCGCTTAGCATTTGATCAAAGACGATGCTTCTACTCATACAATCGCAGAGTATCAGCCCGCTTGATTTAAGGTCATAGGGTCAATCAACCTAATCATCAAATCTGATGATTAATCCCTTTCCATAATCGCAATCGCGAACCTCAGATTGAATATCCACGATCGCACGATATCAATCTGAGTTGGGAAGGGAAACAAAACTGATTTGAAATAAACGCAGATCCTCAAGACCAATCCATGGAATCCATTACCCTTAGGTTGATTAAAAGATTCTTAGCCTCGCATGGCTAAGATAAACATAATTGAAATGAAAAGAAGAAGAAGAAGAAAAAAGATGAAGAACGCAATTGAATAAAAACTCAGAGAGAACTTCTCTGTTGTAAAAACTGACTCCCAAGGGTTTCCTAGAGTCCCCTTTAAATAGCCGTCACGCAGGACGGCTAGGGTTTCATTGCTTCAGCCCAAACATAAAATAAAAAAACCGAATAAAATAAAATGAAACAATAAAACTTTGCTTTGGGTCACTTAAGTAATTGGGTTTTAATTTAAATTACAAGCCCAATAGTCAAACAAAACTGTAGCAAAACGCGTCCAACTTGGTGTCCGAAATCGACCAGCTTCTAGTCCGAATTGGGCTTAGAGCTCTGCATAAGAATTGTAGCTCTCTGTGTTATCTGAAAAACCCAACAAGAACGGAGTCAATCCGACAACTATGGACCGAGATATGGCCAAAATACAGAAGTAACGTAAAGCTGAAAAATTCTGACGAAAATAAATTAAACCCAATTAAAAACTAAAAACCTAAATTAACTCTAACAATCATTATTTTATTCAAATAAATCCTAAAAATACTAATCAAGAGTAACAAATAAGTGTAACAAAATATGTGTTATCAAATTCCCCCACACTTATCTTTTTGCACTCCTGGGCAAAAACTAAAATTGAAAGTAAATACTAAGATCAACCAATCCTTTCTAACAATTACCAAGCATACAGAAAATATACAAAGATCACAAGTCTTCTACAGATAAATCAATCAGGACAGAAATTCCCTAATCTCAAATCACAAGACCTGCTAACTGCATAAAAAATGGTTCCTCACAAGATGCTCTCAATTTTTCTCTCAAGTGTATCAGTTAATTCAGTATATCACTCAAATCAACTCAAGAAAATCATCCTACCATAGGCTTGCTCAAGTTCTACTTCTCCACTGCTCATAAATCATGCATGCACAAATCAAGAGGGCTTTATGCAGGGTTGTAATGGGGCTGAGGTAAAGGTATGGATGAATATGGAAGAGAAAGCTAAACATCCCAGAATTTTACAAAGAGCAAAAGTTAAGAACTAAACTAAGAACATAAAACAAAGATACTGAAAAGATAAACACTTTTTTTTCTTTTTCTTTTTTTTTTTTTTTTTTTTTTGTTTTTTTTTTTTTTTTTTTTTGTTTTTTTTTTGAAGAAGTAAAACCACATAGCAGAAATGAATCAGATAGTCACCCCCCACACTTAAACTTTTGTCCGTCTCGGGCAAACCCCCACACTTAAACACAGCATCACAATGAAACCAATGCTCAGTAAAACTCCAGGGTTTGGAATTAATTGGTTTTTCACTTAGGCTTGTAATGCGGCTTAAGAAATAAAAGATATAAAGGCTCAAAGGGGCTCACCAAGGGATAATACTATAAAGGACGGCTATCTGGCTAAAGTGGGTACATAAAAGAAAGAATGCCTCAATCATATTCATGCATGCAAGTGAAAAATGCAGTTTCAAAAAGAACAGGAGCAAGTTCTAGAGGACAACAATCAAGAGCAGAAACACACAAGAAAGAAAGCATGGCCAGAAGATATGCCATGTATGCGGGCTCAAAACCTCACAAGGGTAAACCAAGTCATGCAATCAACAGCACAGAATCAATCAACAGGTAGTTGTAATCCAAGAATCGAGATCAAAGCCCAACAGATTTATGCTATCAAACACTGTGATCTATGTCTACTCTATGTACCACTCAATAATTACCAGAAAGAAAAGGAAAATCTACCTATGAAAAAATCATAGACTAAAAGAAAGAAAGGAAAAGAAAAATGAAAATGCAAATAACAGAAAGAAAAGAAAAAGAGGGAAGAGAACTCCCTGAACTCCCTAAGGAGAATAAACAGCATCAAGCAGACTCTCAAACTGTTCTGAGCTCTTGCTGGAACCAGTTCATTTTTCGGATTTGCCATTACAGTCACTCCAGACTTCTTGGGAACCACTTGAAACGGGTTGACCCACCAGCTATCTGAAATGGGATAAATGATGTCGGCCTATATCGGCAATGTCAGAAGTTTTTCCTCCCACTCAGGTAGAAGGGTCTTGGCCACTATCACAGGTAACTGCTCATTTTCCTCCAGATATGCATACTTCAGATGGTCAGGTAGATCCTTCACTTCCAACTTAAGTGGTTGCTCAGTGGATGGGAGAAGTCTAGTGGGTGCAGGTTCTGCAGAAAACACATTAACATCTATGCCTGCAATCAAATTCTCAGAAATAGAACCTTCAATAATTTCAACAGGCAACTCAGAATTCAACACCAATGCAGAACCACTGTGCAAATCATCATTCAATACATGATTAAAATCAGAACAACACAAAGCTATCTCAGCACAAGCAGTACAGTTACTACTATCGGTACAATCACATGACAGAGCAGAATCAAGTAATGATGATAATTCTGGATATTCAGCAGTTAAGTCAGTAGAGATATCATCCATCATTTCATCAATTACATCCATATAGAAAATAGAATGCTCTTCCCTAGGAAATTTCATGGCATCAAAAATATTAAAATTAACCATGCTATCACTAAATTCTAAGGAAAGAGTACCAGCATGCACATCTATCTTAGTCCTAGCAGTTTTCATGAAAGGTCTACCAAGTATAATTGTACTACTAGGAATCTCACCCTCCATCCCTAAGACATAGAAATCAGCAGGAAAAATCAGATTGTTCACCCTAACTAATATATCTTCAACTACACCAGAAGGATGAACACTACTCCTGTTGGCTAACTGAACAACAATACCAGTAGCACGCGAGGGACCAAGACCAAGAGACTTATACACAGATTCAGGCATAACATTAATGGATGCTCCTAAGTCTAACATACAATCATGAAAAATAGAATTTCCAATAATGCAAGGGATAGTAAATGTCCCTGGATCTTGGCACTTCTTGGGCATGGGCTGGATGAGTGCTGACACATTCTGGCTGACGCTGACTCGTTCATCTCCTTTCAGCCTCCTCTTGTTGGTGCATAACTCCTTCAGAAACTTAGCATATCTTGGAATTTGCTGAATCGCATCCAAGAGTGGGATATTGACCTCTACTTTTCTGAAGGTGTCAAGAATCTCTTTATCTTGAGCTTTTGCTGCTTGCTTTTTAAACTGAGTGGCTCTTTGAGGAAAAGGTAACGGGATGTGGACATCAGAAGTATCAGTATTTTGCTTCCTTGAACCAGTGTCACCTCCTTGAGATGACTTAACAGCAGATTGGTTTGGTTCCTCCAGTTGCTTGCCAGACCGCAGAGAGATGGCACTAACATTGCCGGTTCCCTTTGGATTTGGAATTGTCTGTGATGGAAGGGAGCTACCACTTGCTTGTTGATTCTGACTCATTGATGTTGCAAGTTGGCCAATCTGTGTTTGCAGATTCTGAATGGAAGACTCAGTCCTCTGCTGGAACTGCAGATTGCTAGTGGCCATCTGTTTCATTAAATCCTCCAAAGAAGGGCCATTGCTACTAGCTTGCTGCTACACTGGTGGCTGCTGCTGCATTGGCTGCTGAGGGGCAAATTGTTGAAAATTTTGCCTCTGTTGTGGAGGCACAAACTGCTGCCTCTGCTGGAATGGTAAATTTTGTTGACTCTGATATGGGACATTTTGCTGATTCTGGTTCCATATGAGGTTGGGATGATTCTTCCAGCCAGGATTGTAAGTGTTGGAGAATGGATTATTTTGCTGCTGGTGCTGGTGCTGTGGATTTTCAGGAAAAACTGCAGCAACAGACTGGTCAACTTGGGAACCGCTGTCATGTAAGGAAGGACAAGCATCCGTGGGATGAGAAGGATCACAACAGATGCCACACAGGTTGTTTGTCTGTTGAGCAGAAGGTTGCACTGTCTGTGTCACTGCCAACTGCCTCACCATTGATGTCAACTCATCAAGCCTGTTCTCTATTCTCTGGTTATCTGTGCTTGATGCTCCTGCTGCTGCCACTATTGGATTTTGCATTGGAGAAGTTTGCACTTGGAACACTGCACTGCTGCTTGCTCTAGTGCCAAATTGTTGAGCATTAGCAGCTATCTCAGCAATCAGCTCCTTGGCCTCATTAGGTGTTTTATTGCTCAGGACTCCTCCACTAGCTGCATCCAGAAGGTTCCTATCCATAGGCAGCAGCCCTTCATAGAAGTAAACAAGCGGGAGATTGTCTGGAATTTAATGGTGTGGGCAGCTTGAACAAAGCCTTTTAAATCGCTCCCAATACTCATGCATGTTCTCCCCATTAGCTTGCCTTATGCCACTGATCTCCTTTCTGATTGAAGTGGCCCTGGATGAAGGGAAGAATTTCTCCAGAAATAATCTGGCCATGTCATTCCAGCTTACAATGGAGGAAGGTGGCAGGTAGTACAACCAGTCCTTAGCTCCATTGTCCAAAGAGAAAGGGAAAGCACGCAGCTTGATTTGTTCCTCATCCACCGCTGTTGGCTTCATAGTGCTGCAGACTATATGAAATTCCTTCAGATGTTTGTGGGGATCCTCACCTGCAAGACCATGAAACTTGGGCAGCAAGTGTATTAGTCCAGACTTAAGCTCAAAAGGTACAACAGGATTAGTATAACGAATACACAAGGGCTGCTCATTATCAACATTAGGAGCAGCCAATTGCTTAAGTGTTCTATCACCCATGATTTCAGAATCAAATAAATGACCAAACGAATAAACACTATGTAAAGGACTCGAACAAACAGACTCGATAGACTCAACAGACTCTAAGGTATGCTCAGGAACAACTCTACTGTAAGTCAACCTACGAGCTCTACTAGCAGCATGCAATGATCTATCTATCTCAGGGTCATATGCATATAAATCATCAACACTGGTATTACTCCTAGTCATGCATCATAGGCAAAGCATACAGCAGTAAAATCACGAAACGTATGATAAGACACAAAAAAAAAAATTTTTTTTTTTTTTTTCAGAAACGAAAATTAAAGAAAAAGAAGATGATCAAGAATCAGAAAACGATTTAGACCGATGCAATTTCCCCGGCAACGGCGCCAAATTTGACACGAGCTGTCGAACTCGCGCAAATTAAAAATTATTTTTTTAATTAGGGTTCAGAAAATTTGCAGTAAAGTGGAAACCCTAAGTCGTCTCTCAAGGAAATTGTTTTGGTTAAAATCGCTTATGAGAACAGAAAATTAAAAGGGGGGTTTTAGATTTTGATTCAATAATTAAAGAGGCAGAATATAAATTTGGAATAAAAATTCGTAATTAAAAATAACCAACCTAAGGTTTGGGTTCCATGGACGTCTTTCCTCGGATAAGAAGATATCAGAATCGTGATTGATTTGTCAATCGGATCAGAATCCTTATTTCCAATTGACAACCCTCTCTAAGCGATCGCTTAGCATTTGATCAAAGACGATGCTTCTACTCATACAATCGCAGAGTATCAGCCCGCTTGATTTAAGGTCATAGGGTCAATCAACCTAATCATCAAATCTGATGATTAATCCCTTTCCATAATCGCAATCGCGAACCTCAGATTGAATATCCACGATCGCACGATATCAATCTGAGTTGGGAAGGGAAACAAAACTGATTTGAAATAAACGCAGATTCTCAAGACCAATCCATGGAATCCATTACCCTTAGGTTGATTTAAAGGTTCTTAGCCTCGCATGGCTAAGATAAACATAATTGAAATGAAAAGAAGAAGAAGAAGAAAAAAGATGAAGAACGCAATTGAATAAAAACTCAGAGAGAACTTCTCTGTTGTAAAAACTGACTCCCAAGGGTTTCCTAGAGTCCCCTTTAAATAGCCGTCACGCAGGACGGCTAGGGTTTCATTGCTTCAGCCCAAACATAAAATAAAAAAACTGAATAAAATAAAATGAAACATTAAAACTTGGCTTTGGGCCACTTAAGTAATTGGGTTTTAATTTAAATTACAAGCCCAATAGTCAAACAAAACTTCAGCAAAACGCGTCCAACTTGGTGTCCGAAATCGACCAGCTTCTAGTCCGAATTGGGCTTAGAGCTCTGCATAAGAATTGTAGCTCTATGTGTTATCTGAAAAACCCAACAAGAACGGAGTCAATCCGACAACTATGGACCGAGATATGGCCAAAATACAGAAGTAACGTAAAGCTGAAAAATTCTGACGAAAATAAATTAAACCCAATTAAAAACTAAAAACCTAAATTAACTCTAACAATCATTATTTTATTCAAATAAATCCTAAAAATACTAATCAAGAGTAACAAATAAGTGTAACAAAATATGTGTTATCAACTGCTCGCACATAGTCTCTTGAATCTCTCCCAATATTTGTGCAGGTTCTCCACATTCGCTTGTCTTATGCCACTTATTTCCTTTCTGATTGCAGTGGCTCTTGAGTCAAGGAAGAACTTCTCCAGAAACAATCTGGCCATGTCATTCCAACTCACAATATAATATGTTGAAGGTAGTAAAGCCAATCTTTAGCTCCACCATTTAGAGAAAATGGGAAGGCTCTCAATTTGATCTACTCCTTATCAACTCCTTGCGGTTTCATTGTGCTGCAGACTACGTGGTACTCCTTCAAGTGCTTATGCGGATCCTAACTTGCAAGACCTTGAAACTTGGGAAGCAAATGGATTAGACCATACATAATCTCAAAAGATGTATCAAGTTCAGGATAACGAATGCACAAAGGTTCACGCTCGGGTGTAGCTAACTGCTTTAAGCTTCTATTATCCATATTTTTATTTTCTGAATTATTGACAATACTATTAGAAAAATAAAATCTACTCTGTTAGAAGAACTAGGAAAATCAGAAGAAGAAATAGAATCAAAATTCTCAATATGTTCAGAATGCTCAGACAGAGAATCAAGTTCAGTAGTGCTACTATAACTTAACCTACAAGCCCTCTTAGCAGCATCCAGTTGTCTCTCTATCTCAGCATAAAGTTCAAACAAAAGACTGCCACTCCTCCTAGTCATGCATCATAAGGCAGTAAAGCAAGCAAAAACACTATAATCATACAAAACATACGAAATATGCGTAAAACATTAAAAATTGGCCAAAATAAATGCAAAAACACTATCAAATGATTTTTAGAAAATATGGAACCACCACACACAAAGTTTCACCCTATCTAGGAACCTAAAAATCAACTAAAAAATTTTCAAAAATAAAAAGGTGATCTAAACGATGGAATTTAGCCAAAACAGGGCCTACCTCGTCACAATACAGCTGTGATGAATTTTGATCAGAAGGTTCTTCTCCTTTGGCTCAACAAATTTTAGCTCAATCGGAGTAAGTCTGATAAGTGCAAAAATACCTCATACGTCCTGAAACGACCAAAAACAGCAAAAACGATTAGTAAATGATTGAATTTTGCAAAAAAAATGGTGGGTTCACTCCCTTTTGGGCAAAAAATTTTCCTCAAAAGGTCGAATTCCTTTGGGAATAGAACTCTTGAAGGTGATCTAGGTAAGAGGGTCATCTTTCCAATTGCAAAACACCCTAAATTATAACCAAATTTATCGAATAAGTAAAAAGAAACAAGAAAGAAGTAAGAGAGGTTAGGAGACACAATTAATCTACTTTATCTACTATCAGTATTAAAGAATGAAAAAGAAAGAAGAAGAAAAATTAAAGATCGTTAAAGAATGATGCAAATTCCCTAGCAATGGCGCCAAATTTGATGTAAGCTGTCGAACTCACTCAAATTAAATTAACCAGGTGTATAAAATATTTGTAGTATAGTGAATAACCTGAATCGTCTCTCGAGAAATTTGCAAGGTAATAAATCGCTCAAATTAAAAATAAAAAGTAAACAGGGGGTTATGCGAATAAAAACGGAAAACATAAACAAGGATTTAAAAAAAATATCAATTTAAAAACAACCAACCCAAGAATTAGGATTCCAAGAACATTCATCATTGGACAAATAATTATCCAAAATTATGGTTGATACTAAACAAACCAAAATCCTTGCATTCATTTAGGAATCCCTCTCTAGACGATCGCTTAGTGTTTGGTCAATACGGCGCGTCAAATCGCGCAATCGCAGAGTATCAACTAACTTGATATAAGGTCATTGGATTAATCAACCTAAACGTTAAATTTAATGTTTAATCTCTTTCGTAAGATACAATCGCAGACCTCAGATTCAATATTCGTAATCACACGATGTTTAATCTAAGTTAAGAGAAGAGAAACGAAATTGATGCAAAAGGAGGCGCATGTCCTCAGTATTCAAAGATGGAATCTTTAATCCTTTGATTGATTAAGGAACGCTTATCCCAGCATGGCTAAGTGCAAAACCATAATTAAAATTAAGAAAATAAAGAAGAACATGAAGAACAGAGAAATGGAAACAGAAATTATATTGAATCCTAAAACTATAAAACGTGAAACAATAAAATGAAATCTGAAAAAAAGCAAACAAGGTTTCCTAATCGCCTTTATATAGGCTCTACAATTCTGACCGAAAATAAAAAGAAACAAAACGTAAATAATGGATTTGGGTCTCATAGACATTGGATTCCCAATTACAAACTTAAGCCTAAATAACTAATTAAAACTGTAGCAACTGGTTATGAATTTTGGATCCAACTTTGACCATCTTCTTGTCCTAATTTGGCTTTCACGTATTCATAACATTTGTAGATCTTTAAGTTATCTGTAAAATGAGATAAGAACGGGATTAATCGGATACCTATAGCAAAAGTTATGCTTAAAATACCAAAGTGGTGTAAATATGGTACAAAATTCAAAATAAACTCAAATAAAAACCCAACATCTAATTTAACCCAAAGACCAATATTTACACACAGAACAGTCAAAAAATCACTAATCAAGAGTAACAAATAAGTGTAATAAATATCAATTATCAGTGTAAGAACCTGCACCGTTAATTTAAGAATTTAAATTAATTAAATGTGAATTTTGGAAATAATTTCATAATTGACCCTTATAATTATGAGAAGATTTAAATAATTATCTTAAGTGATTAATAATGTTGAAAGTCGCTTTTCGGACAAAAAGTGCAGATACCGGTTCTGCCCACGGTATAAATGCGTACCGATGAAGTATCCCAGAAAATTATGAAAAGTATGTATATATCACTAGAATAATATCTAGGACTAGTATAACAAGTTTGGTGTCAAAATAA